ACCTCGTACGAGAGGCCGACCTCGTGATCATTTAATAAAATTTATAATTAAACCCTATCTCTCCTTTATTTTCAGTCCCGTACTTTTAATATTTTCAATCTCAACCGTTGATCGAAAACGCTCGTCAACAGTTTGGCGCTAGAGGAAGGGCACCATAAGTTACTTGGTGTCAACATTTTCGACCTTGTATTAAACACTACATCGCACTTTCTTCCACTCCCGATCCAGATATGACTTCATCCACTCAAGACGAGTCAACACAACAGTCCGGAGCCCAGTCGCGCCGACGTGACGGCGAAGGACCCTCCCGCCGTGCTCAACAGGGGACTCAAGCCCCTGCTCCCCCAGTCCCGACCTTCGCGGAGGCCATGCAACACCCCGACGTCCTCAAAGCCCTCGAGGGGGTCTTCGCGAGGGCCCTCGCTGGTCAGGCGGTCGGGGGCAACACCGTGGCGGCCACGGAAGCCCCTGGCAACACGCTGCTCCAAACTCCTGCCAAGGAGACGGACGAGCAAAAAAAGAAAAAACCCGCTAAGTCCAAGACGACGGCCCAGTCCCCCAACCGCACCGCCTTAGAACGACGCGAGAAGGGAGCCGGCCCGACGCCTTCCGAACAGACCGGTGAAAGCCAGCCTGAGCGGAGCCTGCAAGTTATTCGCCGTTCCGTCTATCAACGCCTTGGCGAAAAGAGCAAGGCCAATCGGGACCTCAGGGAGGTCATTGAGCGAGGAAAAACTATCGGGCGCGAAGCGGACGAGGTCGCGGCCCTTAAGCGAAGAATTGCCGAGCTGGAGGGCCGGCACCACACTCAGAGCGAACCCTCTCCTCCGTTCCAATCACCCCCTACCTTCTCACGACCTTCACCCCGGGTCGCGGACCACGCCTCGCCACTCTCGCCCGACATACTACAAGAACCCGTCCCAAAGAAAATTAAAGTTCCCCAGCTCGGACTCTATGATGGGAGCTCGGACCCGGACTCCCACATTGGCCTCTACACCTCATGGATGGACCTGCATGGCGCCACTGACGCTTTGCGTTGCCGCATGTTCTCATTAACACTGGGACCCAAGGCACAGAGGTGGTATCACTCCCTATACCCCCACTCCATCTCCACCTGGGGGCAACTCAGGGCAGCGTTCCGATCACACTTCATCGGATCACAGATCAACCTCGCCCCCAAGGAGTCAATCGCCAACATCGTCCAAGGCGAGGATGAAAGCTTGAAGGATTACATTGCCAGGTTCAACGATCGAGTCCAAAACATGGAACAATGCCATCCAGAGGCGTTATTGATCTCGGCCCAGGCTGGCCTGAAGCCGAAAACTTTGTTCAAGTGGTCCCTTTGCCAGAACAAGCCGACTACCTACCAAGAATTCCTTGTCCGCGCCCAAAACTACATAATGGCCGAGGAGTCCTCATCCATCCCGGTGCTCGACGTTGCGCCAAACAAGGGAAAAGCGAAAGACGAAAAGTCGGGAAAATCAGGCAAGTCGTTCGCAGAAATCCGGGCCCTGAGGAGGCAGAAGGCGGAGGAACTCAAGGAGAACTACCAGGGCGTCTTTT